GGAGCGGGGCGTTCCGCGCGCTGCGGTGCCCAGCGCAGGGCCCGTCCCGGCAGGCCTCTGCTGAGCGTCTCCCCCAGGTTTTCAGCTCGAGGTTCCTCTAGATTAAAACTGGTTCATTCAAATATATCTAACCTGTGGACCTTCTCACAGGCCATATGCTTTAAACCATGCTTAGGCTTTAAAAGTGTTTCAGAACTACTTCTGCAAAGTGTAAACAATCTATTTTTAATGAGAAAATGCCTTTTTTTTTTAATACAGCATCTCTAAAATAATGTGTTTGAGCAGGAGAAATTAGTAAGGATGTGTTTTCAGGTGTGACAGCATGAGTGAAAAATTTTAGCCCAGAAACACGKTGGAAAGCTACAGACAATTGGAAGCTGAAATTGAGGATGTGTCTGTTTTTTACATTTTGTATACAGCATCCTGATTGAGATACACTGATAAAGTACAAAGAAGAAAAACTGAGGAAGGCTTTCTTTATATATATATATAAATATATATATAAAGAAATATATATATATATATCTTTATATCTTGAGATATATRTATCTCAAAGCTTTAAAATCAGTTTTGCTGTCCTTGAGGGGGAAAAAAAAGTGATTATTTTCGCCTGCAGAATTCAAAAATATTTTGTTATGAAACTTGAAAGTTATGTATACGGTTTTGCAATACCAGGGGTGATATCAGTAGGTGTTTTGGCCAAGTTATATATGTGTCATGCTAGACCAATTAATCATGTCAAGCTAGTGAAGTTATGGAAGGGATTTATGGAAAACGATAGTGGGGATCTTCCAGTCTAGTGCTCTTGTTTCTTTCTCATGTAGGCATTTACCTGCAGGCTGGCTTTTCTCCAAGCTCCACATGGAGACTATTCCTGTTTTTCACAGATCTTGCTGGAAAACTGGCATGTCTTTATTGAGAGTTCCCGTCTTTCCTCTGCAAGGGTGCTTAGATAACATTATTTGCTCCAATTCTCAATACTACTTCTCTGCCTTCTTTCCGTGTTTTGACCTCTGAAGTCAAGTCCTAGGGCACAGTTATGTCATTCAGCAAGTTTGGTCCCTAGGCCAACTGCTGCTGAAGGGGAGGCTTCCACATTGCCTCCTCTGCCTCCGCTAATGCAGGCACTTGCCAGTGAGGCTGTTCGCGGAGACGGCTGTTTTGTTTTGTTTCAGACTCCTTAATTTGACTTGTAGGGTTTATTCTCTGGGGTTTATTTCACTGTGATGGCCAAAGGAGGGCCTGCAGCAGCAGCAGGGACATGCGGAAGCGGGTGCCCACACGCGGAGAAGGGGGAGCCGCCTCTTAGCTTTGCTTGGCTGTGTTGAGAGATGCGTCCCCAGTCGAAAGGCTTGCTTTTTCCAGGTGCTTAGTGAGAGGGGAGCTGCTGACATAGTCTTTCATCTGCATACACATTTACTGAATGAAAATAACAAGAGAACACCCCAGTAAAATGCTAGTTGCAATTATGTTATTGGATAGGATGCTCTCAGAAGTGGAGAATCTTTCCACCAAAGTTTCTGATTCACTGCTATAAAGCACACTTCCCAGCACTGCTTTGTCATTCTCTATTGCTTTTTATCTTAGGAGTGATAAATGCCACTTAAATGGAATTTTTTATATCATTTGCTTCATGTGTTCTTTTTTGGTGCTGCAGGTAATCCTATCAGGAATCGTAGGCTTAACAACATGGAAGAGACCAGTGATACTTCTGGTAAGTATGGATTAAAATTTGCTGTGAGGGAGTTGCCAGAAGATGCTCTTGATTTAATAGAGTCATTTGCAAAAAAAAGCTATCTTTTTTCTTCTTGAAAAAAAACTATATTGGTGAGCCTGTTTGGAAACTGTAGAATCATGATTGCTGAAACAGAGAGAAAAACAGGAAAGACCTTTTCTCTCTATCTGTAAGGGCATAGTCTCAGATAAGAGTGAAGGAGAACTGCATTTGGAAAGAGTGCTAATGTGTTTTTTTTCTTTTTCGGGAAGCTTTTTGTGTTTGCATAGATAAAAGAAAATGCTCATTTAGAATAAATAATTCATCTCTCTGAAGTGCTACTGCTCAAAATTAAATAAGGATATTGGTTTGAAAGCTCAGCTCCTGTGCTTGACAGCAGGTCTGAGCAGCAACTTTAGCAGTGCTGTATTACAGTGTCCGATGTTGTTCCTTCAAATATACCTGATTTTACATAGTTCCAAGAGAAGTGAAATGATGTATGGAGTGTGGAAGCTGTTTCTTTTTGTAAGTGTAACCTAAAGCTGTGTGTCTTTCAGTGTCTTGAGAGGTGGAATTTTAAAAAAGGATTTGATTTTCTTTTCCATTCTGTCTCTTCTCTGACTTTTCCCACAGCAAAATAATTGCTTTGTTTTTGTGATGCTTCTTGGTAATCTGTGAAGTTTTGCATTTTTGTTACCCCTCTCCATGGTTGTCAGTGGGAAAGGTATGAAGAGAAATCATAGCTCTTTTTTTTCAGCTTGGTTGATATTCTTTGCTGGTGCCTTGGTTGGCATAGGCAGGAGCAAAATAAGTTTGTATCCTGGTTCAGCGGATAAATAGTGGAGGCTGGTGTCTTCAGCTCTCAGCCCGATAGTTTTTAGAAGCACCATGTTTTAATGAAAATAAATATAAATGCCATCTGTCTTGAAGAACTTGTGTCCTTTAGGGCGTTCACTATTTATATTCTAAAATTGTATTGTATTATTTATATTCTAAACTGTTCCTACAACATGCTGTTGCTATGGTGTCCTTTTATCTCTTACTTCTCTTCTTCACATTCTCTTTTCATAAACCTTTGATAAGTTTTATGGGTCCTTTCTAGTTTTACTAAATTACGAGAGAACGAACTTCCTGATCGTTTCATTTATACCTAAATGATCTCCAGGACATATTGATAAATATTTCTTGAAAAGGTAATGCAGCAGTTGGGAAGGTTTCTGACACCAGAGAAAGCTCTGAGCAACCTGATGTGAATTTAGTGTTGACTCTGCCTTCAGCTAGGTTCCTTCTGGCAATAGTTACTCTGTGAATGTTTGATCCTGTTAAAGAATGTGGATTTTTACCCTTATTTGTCTGTGTATTTTAGAGAAGTTTGATTGTTGAGGGTTGGGTTATGAAGCCAAAAGTGCAGAAAAGGAAATCAGCATCTGTAAAAGTGATTGAACAGTTTATAGAACTGCTGCAGAGTAGTAATCAAAGTGAGTCACGCATAGAACTAGCTACAGTTTATCAAGAAAAATATCAATAGTGTCTATAAGAAACTTTGTAAATTGTACAAACAGATTCCTTGAAGCCTAGGTAATAACCCCATTCGTATAGAAAGGCTTAGAAATACAAAATAAATGACTGATGACTACAGACATAGTTAGAATTGATACAGGGATCTTTCACCAAGCTATGACTGTCCCTGCCCTTGTGCAGGGCTCCTTGGCACCTACTCCTACAGGCGCACCTCTAACGAAGAACTTTCCCCACGTTCTGCGCTGCCTGTGTTAGTGTGAAGCCTGTTCAGCGCTAGCATGGAGCCACCTCCCTGTTGAGAAGGCAGCCGAGATCACTGAGCTGTCTTCCTGAGCTGCCTCCGCTCAGGCAGGAGCCAGGGGAACAGGCTGCCGTTATGCAGCAAGTCAGCTTTGCTGCAAGGATTCCTCTCCTGTGAAGGTGGTTTTACAAGGTTGCTGCTCAATCTGGTTTTAGCATATGGGGTGCCTGTGCTGTTGGAGGGGACAGGATTCTCCCAAGTCCTTGTTAATGAATTACTGTGTTTTATATTGCAACAATTTATGTTAGCATTTTTGTCATGTGTATGTGTTGACTCTGGGCCATGTTTTAATGGGTACACTGTGAATTTGTGAGATCAATAGTGGTCATTCTTTTTCATATATGCTTTTGTCTTAGTCTTCAGATGCTCTCAATATTATGAAGCAAAGGCCTTATCTTTCTTCTTAAGTAGAGCTGTTTTCAGTTGCTCAGTTCAATTTCTTAATTTATTCAAACTATTCACTCTTAGGTGCCTGCATTCATAAACATCTAAACCTCCCAAATAGCTTTATTTTTTCAGCTCAAATGAGGCAATTAGATACAGACTTTAACTTACCTTGATGTATACCAGAAGCTCTCAGATGTAACAATTGGACTATAAGTAAGTGTAGACAGTTGGGTAGACAGTTGGGTTCAGCCCTTCTGCCCTTTCTCCTTTCAGTTGGGTTTCATCATCTTCATGTGCTACAGAATCTGGCTAGGAGGAGGCATCACTCCTCCGAGTGGTCTGCGGTAGGTTTTCCTCTTGTGGATGTGAAAGTGGCATTTCATATGTTTTCTTCTGGCGTCCTTTTTCACCCTTTAGGTAATAATTTCACACTACCTAGGTTTATTTTTTGTGAGCAGCCAAACTGTCCTGAGGCTCAGAAGGCTGGAGGAGATATGCACCTATTTTTGAATGTTCTTGGCAGGTTTGTCAAGAACGGCATAAAAAAGAATGAAGCTAGCCTGAGGAAAAGGAGGGCATGGAAGATGATGTGGAGAGAAGTGGAAGACAGCTGTCACTTTCAATCTAAATCCTTGAAATAAAAGCAGCTGGGTTATTTTTCTCTGAGGGTGCTCATGGTAGGGGAGAGCACAGGACTGCTCTGTTATCATGAGAGTACAACTGGGAAGTGGCTGCAGTAGCAATAACAAAGAAGGCTTATTAGACTTCTCTACTGCAGGGGAGGACAGTTAAATAAAGTAGCACCAGCCCCAAGAGGAGACCAGGCTTGAAGGGGGCAGATGTTGTAAGACCTGCAGTTAAAAACAAAATTCGAGGACTGCATTTGTATTTTTGTGCCACCCACGCTGTAATGCAGTGTCAGAAGATAGTAACTAAATAATAAGTCTCAGAGACAGAGCACTGCCAGACGAAACTAAATTGTAATCACATCGTATGAAGGACATTTTTGCAAAGTCTTCAGTCTTCTCCTGAGAAACCTCAGTACTCTGAGATCTTGCCTTGCTTTTAGGTGTTGGAGGTTTCCTGATCAGGATATCCCATGTCCAGCTGCTTTTGAAGTCCCTTTGTAGCATTTGTGTTCTGAAGCTGACTTTTCTTCCAAAGGAGATACTTCTCCTGTATGTGCATGTTTGTGTGTGTTTATGGGGGAAAGGGAAGCCCCTTCCCTTCCCTTCCCTTCCCTTCCCTTCCCTTCCCTTCCCTTCCCTTCCCTTCCCTTCCCTTCCCTTCCCTTCCCTTC